GAAAAGAAATTTTACAGTGGGTGGCAGACGGAAGGTGACGTCATAAGCAGAGAAACCACTGACATGCTATGAACAAGTCAATGAATTGCCCATGGCCGTAGTTGAGGCAATGCTTAATATTTATGTTTCTCTTTTGCTTTGGTAAACCTTATGTACAATAAAAATAGACTGATTTCTCTCTCTATATATATATATATAATATATATATATATATATATATATATATATATATATATATATATATATTTATGTATATATATATATATTTATATATATATATATATATATATATATATATATATATATATATATATATATATTATATATATATATATATATATATATATATATATATATATATATATATACATGTATATATACATGTGTGTTTCTGTATGTTTATTTATTTTAGCTATTTATTTTTATGTATGCATTCAGATTATATATTACTAAAATGTGTTGCCTTTTACACCACTGAATTATTTTTCACAAAATCGACTGAATACTCCAGAATCCAAACTGAGCCGCCAGATTTTTTGTTTTTTTTTTCTTAAGGCTAGACGCAGATTATCATGTTTTAATACTAGCTAAATTTGGTTTCAATAAACAAATTAAACAATAAAAAAATATTGAATCAATTATTTCAAAAGAAAACGTGTCAGTTATCTACTGCATTTTGTTTTTTACATATCTAAGAAAAACAAAAACTGTCATATCTATCACATGCCAAGATTGCCCATATGCATAACTGCTCTTATAGTCATGGTTTCATTATAACAATAACAGATCAAACAAAAAATATAAGCCCTCATTTCCGCTGACAAAACTGTCTTACGACCCGGGGAAGTGTCGCTAATCTCATTCGCGAGATTCCCCGTTTTACTGATATTACATTAGCGAATAACAACAACTATAAGTTCTTAGTTATCAACATCTTCGAATTACAAACAGAACGAAAAACTATTGAAATCAGGTTTCGAACATCACACTCCTTTAAATATTTTCAAAATGTCATTTTTTGCCCCCCCCCCCAAGGGCCACGGTGTTTAACTTTTTTACTAACTATTTAGATCCGGTTTTAGCATATAAAAAAATATATATATATATAAAGCAATATAATATATATATATATATATATATATATATATATATATATATATATATATATATATATATGTATATATGTATATATATGTGTGTGTGTGTGTGTTATATACATATATATATATATATGTATAAATATGAATATAAATATATGCACATATATTTATATATGTTATATATATTTTATATATATATATATGTTATATATATCATATATATATATGTTATATATATTATATATATATATATGTTATATATATACTGTATATAGATATATATATGTTATATAAATATATGTGTGTGTGTGTATATATATATATATAATGTTGATACTATAGTAGAAAACCTACAGTGCAAAAACTAGATTTAATGAAAATGAGACTACAGTTTCAAAATCCACCGATGCTCAGTCTGTGCATGCCTGTGGCGAGAACATTGAGGTCTTGGATAGCTTCACTTATCTTGGTAGTGTAGTGCAGAGCGACGGAGGTTCCGATCGGGAAGTCACTCGACGACTCGGACTGGCCTACGGCGTTATGGACTCACTCAATAGGAGTATTTTGCGCTGTCGGTATTTGACTAGGAGAACTAAGATCAGGCTCTTCAGAGCACTGGTGATCCCGGTCTTGCTCTACGGGTGTGAGACCTGGACACTGAACAGTGCTCTGAAAGCCCGTCTTAACTCCTTCGGTACTAAGTGTCTTCGCAGAATTATGGGGTATACCTGGAGGGACCATGTGTCCAATCAGAGAATACTCCATGAGACTGATTCAAGACCTATTACCAGTCTGATACGAGAGCGCCAACTTCAGCTCTATGGACATGTGGCTCGTTTCCCTGAGGAAGATCCAGCTCATAGGGTCATCTCCGAGAGGGTTGACCCAGGCTGGAGAAGACCAAGGGGAAGGCCACGGAACTCATGGCTGAAGCAAGTCGATCAGATCTGCCAAGATGTACTGGGAGTGGGAAGGAATGCTGCATGGAGGCTCGCTCGGAGGGACCCCAGGAGATGGAGGCAAAGGTTGGGCGCGGCAAAGCGCAGCCATGCGCATGCCCCCTTATGATGATGATGATGATGATATATATATATATATAATGTTGATACTATAGTAAAAAACCCACAGTGCAAAAACTAGATTTAATGAAAATGAGACTACAGTTTCAAAATCCACCTGGATTCCATCATCAGGACTGAAGGTGGAATCCAGTTAGATTTCGAAATTGTACTCAATAAATCTATTTTTTTGCATTGTGGGTTTTCCTCTTCCTATGTTCTGTGCTGCTAACAACGCCGTGTGGAGACATGTGTACAACAGTTTCGCCCCACCCTTTGCGTCTGGCAGCGGTATTCCGTTGCCCAATCAGTAGTCCGGATGTCCCTTGTTCATGCCTAAGATAAAGGCAGTTGATTTGTTTCTCAGCTCTTCCACTGAAGCAGCAGAAGTGCAAGCAGAAGAAGCAGCGGATTGGCAGTTTTGAGGTGAAATATTTCCTCTTGGCAGTTACTCCAATATATCTGTGGATTCTCTCCATTACAAATAGTGTACGTATATTCAGCTGTAAACTGATATTCAGATGTGAGAAGTTGTGTGACCTTGGAAGTAATGCAAAACTTGAGGCACATTTCTTTCTACAAACCCCCCCCCTCTCTCTCTCTCTATGTTAATAAGTGATTTATATAATATTTTGGAATGTAAAAGCTGCACGACAGACGTTTGATCACGTAATCTTTCTGTGGATTATGCAGATATTTATAGCACAATTGTTTCTTAAAAGTGTGATAATCGCCTATGTAATTTTATAGGAGATTAATTACACTACTAAATCATTTAGACATGTGATGTATGATGATGTAGCAGTTTGATTGCATTGATAAATTCTGATCTAATTCAAAATTAGGCATATCTGATGTCAACATAGAATATACACCAAAACCTATAACGCAATAGAATGCGTAGTCATGTATTGCTGACAAAGTTCTCAAGCTGTCTGGTTGCTGGTACCTTGAATTCGCTGTGTTCAATTATCCTGCAGTAAACGTGGATTTTATCATTAGGTGTTTATAAGCAAACAACGTATGTCATTGATTCCATAGGTGAAGGAAATATTTTTCTGGGATCAAATGCAAAGATGAATGTCCACGTGTGCTTGAATTACAGGCAAAAAATACAACCCGAACCAATGTCAATCAAAAACTAATTATTTAAAATGATGATTTACTTATCAACACAGTTTTGTCTGACCAGATTCTGTATCAGTGCATTTCAATTTCCTCCTTACAGCTGGAATCGCGCCCTTGAAAATGAATAAAGTGACCATGATAATCTACATTCGAGAAACGAGCGCCAAGACAACGGCTGTCAAAGCATCTCCATCAGACACGGTCCGGGATCTGAGGATTAAGATCATGCAAAAGGGAATATCTCTAAAATTAAAGGATCTCATGTACTTCAACGAACAGCTATACCTATCCAAAAAGCTCTCCGACTATGGGATAAAACACAACGACATCTTGTATTTGAGAGAAGCACTTCAGCATCTCGGTTCTTCGGGGTTTCTACTCTCCGTCGCACAGCCCTCAGGAGACGTAATGAAGATAGTGGTTAGTGATCACGACTGCGTCATCGACATCAAGCAAGAGGTGGAGCGCGAGGGGGGCCCGGTGATCGGCAGGCAGTTACTGAAGGTGGGGGGCGTCGAGATGCAGAACGAGATGAAGTTGAAAGATTACGGCATTACGGGAGACGCTGTCATCTGGTTGGAGGATGCAGACGAAAGCAAAAGGAAATCTAAGGAGGCGCGAAAAAGAAAGAGAGTTGGAAACGAGAAACTGAAGAAGAGGTTGGCTGCTGTTGTTTTCGTGATTATTTTTATCATCATATTGATATGGGCTTACCTAGAAGGTAAAATTCAAATAAACCTCTGAGTTCAGCATGTAGGAATATTAGCTCAGC